ACACACACACATTATTTTTATTGTGCTATTACTGTGCTAGCACGTAGTGTAAATAATTAATTTGGATATTCTTTCTTCCCGATTAGTAGATACCTAAATTGGAATCAGGGCACATTCTGATATTTCTTAACTTTTGCTTTCACAAATGCCCCCTTATTTTCCATCTTTTTTTCATGTTTATTTCAATCAAGATTTCACCCATGTAATCAGAATTCCAGGTGACTCCTGATACCTTTAACCATCAGAAAGTGGGTGCTTAAAAATTATATTTTCCTTTTCACATTCTGAGTTAAAATGCTTTAAGCTTCTTTAGAAATTTTTAGGGACACTTCTGAAAACCCATATCAAGATCGCTACTACTCAGCTACTGACTCCTTTCTAAACCGACAGGGTGTTGAAGAAGAATTCACAAATTGAATGTCCTTAAAAATTGTATTTGCTTTCTCTCTTCTCATTTTCCTCCTGTCCTGCCCCATTCAAGAAACAAAATAGGAACAAATAAGTAAAAAAATCAGACCAAAACCCAGGGAGAAAACATTTCCAGTAGTCTGACCTCATTATTTCTAATCTGAGGACCACTAGCGTCTACCTGATACTTTGTAGAATGAGGTAGAATACAAATTGGGATATTTGTGCATGTTACACCATTCATTGTTTTTTCTCTTTTTAGATAATGGCCCTTGTTTAGGATCTCGGAAGCCAGACCAACCCTATGAGTGGCTTACATACAACCAGGTGAGTTTCCTGCCTCTGTGGATGCCTCATGCAAGTTGTAGTACTTATGTATGTCAGTTTTTCGAACCCTAATTAATGTCAGGGCTGGAAGGCCTCCACAGAATGTACGTGAGCACTAGCTCAGACCTTTTGGATAAATGTGCAGCGTCTGAATGGAGAAGTCTGACACAAAGATTTGGGGGAAACGAGTTAAGTAATTTAGCTGAGGATTCAAAGCGCTTTATTTTGGAGCTGATATGGATACACTGTGGCGTAGAGTATAATTTTGAAGATAAAATTCTAGAAATGAGCTTGAGGCAGGTGACTCTCCTCCCAGGCCCTGTGGGGGCACAGGATTACTCTCCTCTTTGCTGTGAGAGGCCCTAGAAAAATTTAGAAGCCCTAATATAGAGCAATTCTCTCATATTGTAGACGAGGAAAACACGTTCCAGATAGGGACAGGACTTACCCAAGGTCACAGCTGGTTAGTGGCAGAACCAGGACCAGACGTGAGGTCGTGAGGTCCATGCCACCTGGTGTAGGGCTCTTCCGTGCATCATGACCAGCTTGAGGCTGGTGTGACATTTATAAATCCAAAGGAAGCCGGGATCTGGGTGTTTTTACTCTTGTCATTCTGCAGTCCCACTGACCCACAGCGGTAGCTGGTTAAATAGTAGTTTGTGAATGGCAGGTCCCAGAACAGGAAGACATTTATTTTTATCTTATCATGATCACAACATATGGTTTTCCCATGCTTCTTCTCAGTCCTAGTAGTGTGAGGACCAGCAGGAGCAGCTAGCTGGAAGTGTCAGCTTCGCTGCCTTTTGTCTCCAGCACAGCTGTCCAGGAAATGGCTCCCTGCTCTAGGGGCAGGTAACCCTGTGGCATTCGAGAATACAAATGAACTTCCTCCTTCCATGCTTTGTGTGAACAAGCTTTTAGCAGTTGGTGTGTTCTGGGGTGTGTATGTGAGGGGTTGTCATTGGGAACCCTGCAGCCAGCTCTGGAGTAATGCCTTATGTTTTCTGATTTTCTTCCCTTCCCCCATCTGAGGATCAGCGAAAAGCAAAAGGCTTTCCTGGGTCTCGTGTCTCTCTCTGTCTCTCTGTCTGTCTNTTCACCTAGGCGACCATAAAATTAAACTTTCATAGGAGAGCCAAAACCAGCATCTAGGTAGTTAGGAATCTGTTGAATGACAGGAAAAGCCAGCTTAGAGTTTTTAAGTCTAGTGTTTTGAAACTGTACCTAGGAAGCCATTTATAAAGATTGAGTTCCCTGATTGTCAGTGGTTCTTATCCCCAGCTGCACTTTAGTGTCACCTGGGGAGCTTTTGAAAAATACTAAGGCCCATGTCATGCCCATCCCTGTCCAGTTATATCAGAAATGTTGCTAGTAGGGCCTGGGTGTAGGATATTTTTTTTAAGTACCCCAGGTGAGCCTGGGAGTTCACTACACTATTCTAGAGCTGGAATCTACAAACTTTTTCTGTAAAGGGCCAGATCGTAAACATTTTAGGTTTTTTGGGCCCCGTGGTCTCTGGTACGACTGTTCAACTGCAGCCTTAGGTAATATGTAAATGAATGAGTAGGCTGTGTTCCAATAAAATTGTACTTACACAACCAGGCCGCAGGCCTGATTTGGCCTCTGCCTGTAGGTTGCCAGTTCCTTTTCTTGAAGAATAAAATAGTATTATTTTTTTATAGCAAATGTATATATTTTCCATCGGAAAACAACATCTGATGGAACTTGTCATGTTTGGCCTGGTCTTTTTTTTTTAGATATAAATGATGTATAACATTAGTTTTAGGTGTACAACACAATGATTCATGTTCGTATATATTGTGAAATGATCACCACAATGAGTCTAGTTATCTAGTTACAAATTTTGTTTTCTTGCGATGAGAACTTTTAAGATCTACTCTCTTAATAACTTTCGAATATACAATACAATATTGTTAACAATAGTCACCATGCTGTATGTCACATCCCCAGAACTTATTTATTTTATAACTGGCAGCCTGGTCTTTATTCTAGTCCCTGTGAGTTGAAGAGAGTCTGAGAATCAGGCCCTCTTGGCACTCTTTTCTGTTTTCATCAGGATGGCCTTAGAGAGGGTCAAGAAGTTGGTGTGAAGGAGTGGATTTGTACGGCCTGGGTCCTCCCCCTCCTCATGACTGATTCTCGACTGTACAAGCACATCCCACTTCTCTCCTCTTGAGTGTAATTCTGTGTAATAGGCCCAGGCTTGTCAGGGCCCCACCTGGGGCCCTGCTCCGCTTTCCGCCCTGCGTCCCCCAGGTCCCCAACCCAAATCTGAACACCTCAGCTGACACTCAAACCAAGTTTGGTGAAGCCAGATGTGTTATGGTCTCAAAACAGAAATGTAGGTGCCCCGGCAGATGGGAGATGTCAGAACATCCAACTTCAGATGTCCCATAGAAGGGTCTATGCAGGCCCAGTGTGACACAGAGCCCGCTTTTCCAGTTAGGAGACATTCCTGTGTGTGGTCAACTCTGATCGTCTAAACATGGCAGCTTTTTTTTTCTTTGTTTTTATTAAAGTGGACATAGCGTTTCCCTTCAACAACTACAAACCGAGCATAAAATTAGCTTGGGATTCATCTGTAGAAAGAAATTTGTATAATTCCAAATATAAATGATTTGG